CTTCTGTTGCCTTTTTGCTTTTAAGGTTGAGGTTTGGACGTCACTAGTGACTACTAGGGCTGCAGTTGAACTACATTGCTAATGATTGGCTTCATGCCTCCAAGTTAGCGGGTGATGTTATGTTCTTGTTTAACCAGCTCACTCTTCATTTGTAACTGATCGAATCTGGCTGTAAATTCCTCTCTGGACAACTCTTTCTATTATAGATTGTGGAGCTCCAGGAAGATATCTTGATAATAGTGTAGAGGCAGGTAGTTTCGTAGTAAAGTTTTCTTCATTTTGTCCCACTTAGTGATTTTCTCACCGCCGTCCCTCGTTTGCTGGCGTTGTAGGTTGTCCCACCATAATGAAGCGTGTTTTTTCAATTTAATAGCTGATAGTTTGACCACCGCTTATCTTTAGATATCTATTTATATTCAAAAGTTTGTTCGACTCCTTGTAGCCAGTTAAGAAATTCATCAGGATCCATCCCTCTATAAAATTTGGAAAGATCTATTCTAATGCTTGTCGCGGTGGCCTCCGAGTTCTCGTGGTTTCCTTTGGTATTGGATGCCAAAACTGCATGGATGGTATTCTGTCACTGTGGAACGGATTCAGATCGTCATCGCTATCTTCTTGTTGTCTCTCTGGGTCATGATCGAGGGTAACCTCGCCTTGGATTTCTTGATCTAGTTCTACCAATTGTTGTTGTAGACAGCGGATTTCACGCTGCATCTCATTCCGGATGGGTCCCAGTACGTTTCTCTTGTGGGGCTTATTTGATGGTGTGGATGAGAAGAAGACAAGGAGAATGGAGAAAAGGAAGAGGGACAGAAAAGGATAATTAATAGAAAAACAAAGAGAGGGAACCATAAGTAAAGAAGGGAAAAAAAAAGAAGGGGAATTAAGAGAGGGAACCATAAGTAAAGAAGGGAAAAAAAAGAAGGGGAATTTTTTTTTTTCTTGGCTTGGATGGTTGTGTGGATGGTAGGGAACCCTAGGATAGGACTAGAGTTGGGCTAGCATTGATACCAAATAATACCGGAGTTAAAACAAACCACGACGCAAGACAATTTTATTAATGACTTAAAAAATGTTATAATGAAAACTCAAAAGAGAGAAAGACAACACACAAATCAAAAGCGTAAGATAAGGATTACAAATGAAGTCTTAACAAAAAAAGACACAACAAGCTTGATGAGGAGGGAGTTCAGAGAGCTGGTGCTACAGCAACAACTACGATGAAGGCCAGAGAGCTATCAGACAGCTGTGAATGAAGTAGGCAAATCAGTAGTTATAGAGGCGTTGAACTGCAACTGGCAAAAGCAGAAAACATTGTAGAAGACTAGACCCGAAGAGGCAGTGGATGGCGACTTGCAGGAGGCGGGGAAGAGAGGTGGCCTACTGGGAAAGGGTGGCGGCACAATGCCTGCAGGAGCAGGGAAGATGTGGTATGCTGGGGCAAGGTGGCGGCACAATGGTTGCAGGGGTGGGGGCATGTGGCGAGGATGGCGACTAACGCCAAGGATCGAAGGTAGGCTGCGGCCTGCAGGGGAGCTGTAAGGCAGAGCTGGAAGGAGCAATATGAGGTTGCAGTCTGCATGAAGGGGGCAGGAGGGAGGAGCTGAAAGGGGGAAGCTGCAGACGGGCTAGAGAGTAGGGGGTTACCGTGAGTGTTGGAGGAGCATGTGGGAGTCGTCGGTCTTCAAAAGAGGAAGGATGTGCAGTGGGCTCCTCTGGAGGAAAAGAGCCCTGTGAGGGCTGCGAGGACGAGAGGCAGCGACGGTCAATCGAGGAGCAGGATACAGTCGGAACCTCAGGGATAATCACCACCTCAGATGAGGTTACATCCAGAGCACCTTCCTCATCATCAGATATAACCCTTAAGGAAAAAATCTAGGATAAAACTTGAATTCATATTAAAAAACAAGGCCCCTAATTCTAAGCACATAACCTCCTATTTATAAAGAGGCTTGACCTATTTTAGGAAACATTTCCTTTGAGGACCGGCTAATAAAAACATGTATTGATGTTGCGTAAAAATGAGCAATTAACATTGGTGAGTGATGTCAGTGGAGGTTGGACGTCGAAGCTTTGTAAAGTGGTGCAATCAATTGTTGTAGCTAACCAATCTGTGCTTTGAAATTATATGAAAAGGTGAAAGCAACGTTGCCAGCTGGTGAATGAGGATTGAAGTTGTATAAAAATATCTTTATATTGTGCTAGTTGATGAGAATGTGTTAAATTAGTCTTTAGAGAAGTGTACAATAAATTTATATCTTCAGTGTCTTTTGTAGGCCAATGATAGATTAATAGGAGCACATGCCATCATTCTCTACTTGATATTTGCATTGGTTGATTTAATGCACTTTGTTTCCAATTGCCTTTGCTTGTATGCATCCTATGAGGCGAGTTGCCTCAATACCTCGAACCTCAGATCTTAAAAGTTCTTGCAAAAATGAGGATGAAATCTCTAGGCAGTGTCGTATTTTCTATTTCATCTACCTTCTGAAACTTTGACTGGAAGCTCTTGAAAAACTCTCACTCATCATTTTCAGGGAGCCTGGGTGCAAATTCACAGAGCCCACAATACCATTGCTTTTTTATGCTCATGTTTTACCATGATTATTGAAGCAAGAATCTTGGCGCTGCTTTTGGACGATCAATATTAAATTGTTATGTATAATTTTCTAGGAGCTTTTCAATGTTAATAATGCCAATGAAGTTGACACCCTTTAGATGAAATAAACATAATGTAAAAGATTTACTTTTGCCTTCTATTTTTTTACTTCAACTTGTAGTTGCATCCATGATTGAATTTGCTTTTATATCTTCAACCATCCTTTTATATGCCATGAGCTCTATTTTTCTTCTAGCGACTGATATTCTGCCATCTTTGCATTTTTACTTTCTGCTCTTCTGGTATTTGTGTTGGAAAATCTCACATTGCTTTCTGTTTTTCTCTTTCTGCTTGGATTGAAGTTAACGTAGTTTTACAATAGAATTTTTGTTAATCTCCTATAATGCAAAGTCTTTATTTTTCTTTAGTTATTTGGAACATATTATATAGTTGTTTCTGCAGTAACATTTAGCCGGATTGATCCTGAAGGAAAGTTTCTCATGGGATTCAGGAAGTCTTCTACTTCATCTTGTACTGAACAGGTTTGTACTATGAAGATCTACGGACACAACATTACTTCTTTTAAATTTTAGACAAAGCTTTAATGTAGCCAAGATATCTATGCACCTTCTATTGTCACTGGAAGTTGTATAATTATTTGAAAATAGGGATCATTACATACAGAACCCCCCGAAACATTGATATTTATAAATTAGCCACCCAGATGTTCTTTCTTTTTTTTTTTTTTTTTTTGAACTATCGAACTGATGTATTTACATGTGCCTTGATCAAGCTATTGAGAATTTGATAAAAATGAAAAATATGGGTTTGGGTTTTACCATGAATTTTGATATTTGAGTGAAAAGTTGAATAATGGATGAAAGAGGGTAATGGATGGCTGTTGCAAATAGCAAGTTTTAGGTGGTCTGTATATAATTGCCCCTTGAAAATATTGTAAGAACCATTTTTATGTTAGCTTGTCGACCGCATGTCTGTACACTTTTGCCTTTATTTTCGTTAAGCTTTTGGAGGGCTGCAGAACTATTTCTCCATTGCATTGCCATGGGGATCTTGTCTTGGATTTTGCTCTATGGAACATGGATGATGTTGGGGCATCAAAATACAATTGAATGCTAACACGGCATAAATTAATTCTTTAATAATTTTTTTTCTCCTCATCCAAAGAGAATTATGATTTTCCTCCAAGGAGCTCCTCCTTCCAATTTTTCTTATAAGTCTACTTTCTTATTTGGTTTTCACATATTGCGTCACATTGTTTCATTTCATCTCTACCTAGACTAGATTTGTATTTAGTTCTACCAACTTTAGTTTGATATAATCTTCATCAGACAGGTATCATTCTATTAATAACTGAGGATGATACAGCCGCATATAGAGGCTCATATAAAAGTTAATTGATTCATTATCCCAACTATTTGATGTTGACTTTATGAAGCCTTATTTTCATTATCTATTATGAAATTTTCTTTAGATGTTGTACTTATATTTTTAAAGTAATTTTAACAAATTCTATCTATGCTGCTGTATGTCTACACTCTCTCTTCCTTAATAATCTGACTCTTCCCCTTATTTATACAATGACACTAATTCTATGTTCTCATTTTAATTAGTGGATTACTAACCTTTGTTAAACATCCAAATTATTTGTTTATTTCAATCACATTATTTTTAATATATGTCACTCAATCCAACACTCCTCCAATATAGTCATTATTAATTATTCAACGTAGATTTGTCACACATTAATTTTTTTTCACACTTAATTTAGATAATAATAAAATTTCGTTGCCCAACACTTAAATTCATACAACTTTGCTAGGTTAATTCCTGTTTTTAAATTTTGATTTTTTAAATCTCTATGATATTTTATTATTGCATAAAACTTTTAAGGCATTTCTGCATTTTACATGTCCCGTTTTAACTTTTTAAATATTCATATTTTTATTTGCATTCTTTTATATAATAGCTTCAAGATACTTAAATCTATTACACCTTGGTATCACTTTATCTTTTAATAATATTAATTGATAATTTTAATATCACATCCCCTTGAGTTTCATTTTTTTTTTTGTGAAATTTTTAATCTTTTAAAAGCATATGCTAAACATCTCATTTCTATTATTCTTTGTAAGCATTTTTATAGTTTAAAAGAAAAATTGACTCAAATGTTTTTCCTTAATGTATCAGTATAGAAATTGAGCACTCTTTTATACTCCACAATCACTTTTACTGCTAATCAGCGATCAATTTTGCATACCTTTTATAAATTTAACATACCTTTGACATATTTTTTCCCTTAATGTATACCACTTTAATTATCATGATACTCCATTAGATTTCTTCTCGAGATTTATAAACTTCATGTGAAGATCTTTTATTTGCTCTTTTTCCAAAAATGACCTAATTTCTCATATTTCTCTATTATGGGGACTATGCATTAAGGTTTTTTTGTTGATGATTGATTAGTGGAGAGAATAGTCTCATGTTTTCTTTGGAGCTTGGCCTCATGTTTTATAACATATGAACAGGAAAATCAAGGAGCTAAAGCTGGGAATGGTTCTTCAGCATCTTCAGATGTTAAAAACAATGCTATGGATTTCATTGCAAACCTTCCTCTTCGACCTCACAAAGGGAGCATAGAATCAAAAAACCAAACTGAGAGAACGGACAAGGAAAGCTGGTCTATGAATGACAAGGCTGGATTCATTCAGAAGGATGGTCATTTGCCAGTGGTTTCATACATTCCTTCCAAAAGGAAGAGCAGCACTCTCGGGTCTAAAAGTAAGCGCCTGCGAATTGAAAATGAAGACTCAATTGAGTTGACTCTTACATGGGAAGAAGCTCAAGTTCTGATCCGATCAGCTCATGATGATTTTTCCAGTGTCTCTAGCGTTAGTGTAGAAGGCCACCAATTTGAGGAATTTGAGGTAACTTCCCCATGTTGTTTGTTATGAAAGCTACATCTTGGCTATTTAGAAAGGTATATTTTTCTTCTGCAGTATAGTATGATTAAATAACTCATATATTAGCATGGTTAACTGACTTTGTCGTCGATCTCATACTTCAATACAAAATAACATACAGCCACTGTTTTAGTCTTCATCTGCAAGTAGTATTATTTATGAGTTTTGGTCGTTTGGTTGGTGGTTGGTATTAATTGGAATGCCGATCCATCTATGCTTTGATTGTTAATTATTGATATCTTAAAACATGCAATGACCAGAGGGAAAAAGAAAGAAGAGTTTGAGTTTCATTTTTTTAAATGCTTGCTCCTTTTTTCTGTCCCTTCGATTCAATCCTTTTTAAAGCTGCCATCAAACCCAAGGTTTTATTAGTTTGTTTTAGATTTTTATTGGCATTTTCACTTTTATTTTTCTTAGTACTTTGAAACTTCAGTTGTTCACTGGCATAATCTGATAAAATAAAATTTTTAATCGATTGCAGGAAGGACCAGTACTTGGGTTGCCAACATATTTTGGGAAAAATCAAGATGGGTAATGTTTTCGATATCATTAAGTTTTACCTCCAATAAACTGAATGTAACTTGACTTTCATCCTTGTGTTTATTTCTTTGAAATATCATATAGATTAGAGTCTTAGGCCTAAAAGACAGAAGTAGAGGTACATGAAATTAAAGAAAAAAAGTAAGTGTTGGAACTGGTTGCTTGAATTTGTAGGTCAGTTCAATATATAAATAATAGCTTTATTGTGCGTATGCTTTCTGCATGATTCTTCATCAAAATTTTCAAGCTGTCTGCTGAGACATTAGAGAGATTATAAGAATTATTTCTGGAAATGAAATTAGTGAGAAGTTCTTGCTGATCATGTCAATGATTCTCTGCAAAGCAGGGTTTCTTGCTATTGGAATTTAAATAACTGGCTATGCTTATTCATTGTTGCAAGATTTTCTAAAATGAGAAAAGGCATAATGACAATCCAGACTTTGTAGAGATGACACTTCTAAGGAAGAAATCATCAATTCATTAAGAAAGTGTCCCATGGGAGTGTCAAATCTGCAGGACAATTGGCCTTTGTCAGTTTCTTCTTACTGGTTCACATGCTTCTTGTTCTGTATCATCTAACTGTGCATACATCTTTTGATCTGTTAGTTACTGTAGCTAAATGTTTGGAAAATTTTCTTTAGTAAATACTAGTTTAATGGTACTTGCAATACTTTTCTTTCACCCCTTGGAGTTCGACATATTCATTACTAAATTGAAATGATGTTTCAACATATCCATTTATAATTTCTTTCAAAATTTGATAAATTATTTTATGCTTAAATGTGCGTCATTTAATGTATACGTAGCCATGTTTGATTCATATGAATGCAGCATGTGTTCGTTCATGAAACTATGCTGCATCCCTGTTTGTTCAACCTTGATCTACAAGATGGTCTTATCATACTTTTGGTTATTAGAGAAAGAATAAACAATGCTACTAAAAATCTTCATGATTCTAGCAAGGTACCAAACTTTTGGTTTATAGAATCTATTTTAATTAATCTATTGAAGCAATTTGTTGACCTTCATATTTGCTCCACCTTCAATCCATTTGAGCATAATAATTATGGCGAAGCAAGAGGACAATATCATTCAATTTTGTTCAAAATTCATTGAATGTGATGACAACCACATGAGACTTTGCTTGTTCAAAAAATGTATTGTGTTGATACGTCCAAAGCATCAAAAGTGTCGAGAAATGGTCTCCATGATCATTTTGATCAAATACCAAGAAAACAACAAAAAAAGGGCACAATTCGCATGAATTCAGTTTGGGTTGACTTGAATGTAATCAATATTTGCTCAAAATGTCATCATTTTGCAAAACATGCTAAACGATGCATCCAAAATATTGACATTGACAAAATGAAGGTCCTTGCAATTGATTTGTTATCATACGAAATCACTCGGCCATCGTTCGGTCGCAGATAAACCACGCCAATTCATCTATAATAATGAAATTAACTACAAATGACACCTAGATTGCATGGATCATTGCACTATGATGAAAGACTAACTTCACTCTCAAGCAAGACGACATCCAATTCAAGGACTGTTAACAAAAAATTGTGGAAAGGGATCAATATATAAATTATCATAAAATTAATCTTTATATAAAAACTCAATTCCCATCATATTTCTAGCCAACTCGATGTTGTCGCCTTTCTCTCTCTTTTTATTTCGTGTACGTCATATGCCTTCTATTTGTGAGTTCCAATTCTTGAGACCCAACTTTAGCTCATACCTTGCTTATGCTAGTTTCTCAGGATGCCATGTGTATGATAGCTTGTCGCCTCCATCTCTTTTCCCCCACAGATAAACTCCGAACAGCAACCCAATGACAACTTATCGCCTCCATCTCTTTTCCCCCACAGATAAACTCCGCACAGCAACCCAATGACAACTCGGATAATTGCCAACCCCTCTCCCTCCCCCAAATCTCATCCTATCACTATCATCTCTCTTTTTTTCTCTTTTAAATGAGAGGAGAATAATAAAAATAAATCAGCCTGATTTTTTTTTATTTCCTCTAATTCAAGAGAGTAAAGGTTCTTTGTCTCCCTCTCATTCTCCCTTCTCTCTGTAAACAAAGAGAAATTATGTCGTTGTTCTATAGCTCCTAGAATTTGCGAGAGAGTAGAAGAAAGGGATAGGTAAGTTGTAGGAGGGGTAAGGAAAGTGGGAGGAATGGTGGCGGCTGAATTCTAACACTATGAAAAGACAGCGAACTAGAAGCAAAAAATCGTTGTTTTTCACTACCCAACAGTGGCCTGCTGTCGAACAACAGCAGACGCAAGTTCAAAAGTGAAGGAAGCCTTTGAACTTTCAAGAGAGATCACCATCTCGATCTTGTCAGACTACAGATAAACCACTTGAAAGAAATCTAAGGATATATAACTCTAATGGAGACAACCAGAAGAAATCATGTCTAAATAACATGAACGAAGCCAAAAGGCTACTAAATCAAAAATTAATAGCAAATAAATAGTTCTGAAGCAAAAGAATTCGAATTCTAATTAAAATAATGTTAAAAAAGGGGTCCACAACTGGCACTAGCGGGAAAATCCCGCTATAGCCCATACAAGTGCTTGACCTGCTTACATGATTATGTGATCTTGCAATTTTTAGGATTCTACAATCCATGTCACAAAAATCCCACTGGAGGGAGCTCCCCTGTCATTCACCCTGGTTAGATTTTTCTTCTTCTTTTATGTAGGATTCTGCAATCGATCCATCACCACCATAATAAAGTTATTCCTTGTCTTATTTGAGGCAATCCTACTGTAAAATATTTGCTCATGTCTATTCTATGGAACTCTAAACACTTACAGCATTTCACAATTTGTTCTAATAGAATAAATTTTCATTCTTCGGCACGACCATAGTCGACACTACACATTGATGTATGTTCTCAACAATCAAGCATCAACCCATTTAACTTGTAACCTGCTTTTCTCACTCGTACCTGGTTGGGTATATCTGATAAATAAGTTTGTCTGGAGGTACCGACCCTCGAATGACATTTATGTTATGCTAGACCACTCTTGTTGGAAACCATCTTAGAGATAAACTGTCACTCAGGTTATCTGAGTCAACAAAGTTTAGCCCTTTTATGTTATCAGCTTCTGAAACTCACTATCTTTTAGGACAACCAATGTTGATCCTGTTGGAGTCTCTCTCATGGCTTCAGTTTGAGTCGCTAGCATCTCTCTCACATCGGTTGGAAGCTAATATTCCTTTTTGTCATCTTCATTCTCTCCCGTGTCACTGTTCTTTTTTTCATTGTTTCTCAATGAATAAGATCTTTTTCCTATTCGGCAATTAGAGCGTTGTGATCTCCATCATTCTTTCACTCTATTTAGGTTTCTCTTTGGGCGGACAATGTAAGTGCTCTATTGGGTGTATTCTTGTTGGTTCATCCAATAATTGAACCCTGTTTGAAGGATGATGTGGACCTGACTTTGTTGTATTATCTCTCCACTTTCAAGGCTAAGGTCTAGACTCTAGACATCCTATAATTTCCAATAGAGCTGCAGCTGTATCACATTTTCAATAGATTGTCTTAGTCTCCTAAGATGCGTCGCTACCATGTGCTCCTTCGGTTACCCCAACTCACATTTCAGTATGAGTTGATCAAATTTAGCTATAGAGTTTTATGAATTTATCATGTTGGTAATTCGAGGGAAGCTATATGTGTTTCATCTCTCTTTTCATCTTAGACTAGGTGTTGATCTTACTCTTTCATTCCTGTTGTCGGATACATTTTTGATTTTCTCACCACAAGGAACATTTTTCGTTAGCTTGATGGTTGGCAATTTAACTCTTTTTTCATGCAGAACGTCGTTGTACTTAAAAACTTGTTCCACTTTTTGGAGTTACTCTATAAACTCATTTGGATTTATGTGATTATCAAATTCGGTAAGTTAATTTTCACTCTAACACCGTGGCTTCTTCTCTATTTTTCAATGTCAAATCAAAGCGGCATCGACTGTTCTTCACTTAAAATTTCTTCGTGAAAATGATTGATTTTTTCATCTTGATCTGTTGAGACATAGTGGCTATGAGCAATTTCACCTGATTGTCTCCTCTCAAAAGGCATAAGCCTCTATTGCAGTTAGAGGATTTCTCATTGCACGTCCTCTATAGTAAATTTTTGGTCACCTCGTTGAGGATTTCTCCATAGCGGCTTTGAATAATTTTCTCCTTATCAGTAACGTGGGGCTTTGGAGAGGAACTGACAGGTCCTCAAGTGGGGGAGGGTTGCCGACCCCCCTTTCCCCTTCTTCCTTTCCTTCCTTTCCTTTCCTCTTATTCACTCTTTGCGTTTCCCATTTTTTATTCTCAGCACTTGCCAATTCAGAATTTCTATTATTTTTATTAGTTTTTGACTATTTTAAATTCCTTCTATTATAAACATTGCCTAAATTAGGAATTCTTATTATTTTTATTCACTTTCTTCTTTTAAAACATTGCTTATTATATTATATTTCATGATTAAAAGCTTTGCCTAATATAAGTTGTAATCCTTCTTATATTGTCACAACATATCCAGTGCTTAGAATTAACTAAGACGGGTACAAATAGTTGGAAGGTGAAAATCAATTCCCTTATATTATATTTCTATCCCAAATAGTTTAACATTCAAACATTCATGAAAGTGACACTAAAGAAAGAAATTATAATTTAAAAAAAGAAGAAATGTTTGTACATTTTCTTATGTTGTTCTTGTCTCCTGTACACATCATCTCTTCTTCTATTCATCTTAATAAAAAAATTTAAATCTGAAAAAAATGTTAAAGCAACAGAATGAGTTATCTAAAGATAACCTATGAACAATCACAATTTTAAACTACAGTAACCCAAGGAAAAAAATTCAATATGCATGTTAGTATTTTATATCTCTATAAGAAATCCTTTACTATGCTAGTCTTTCAGGTCTTTCATATGAAATTTTTGAATATACTAATGCATACACCAATGACCTTTACTAT